CAGATTATTATGCACACACAAGTGCTATCTAGACTGGCCCTGATTTTTTATGCATTCACAAGTGCTGTCTAGACCAGTCCAGATTCTTTATGCACACAAGTTCTTTCTAGGCCAGCCAGATTCTTTATGCACACACACGTGCTGACTAGACCGACGCTGATTCTTTATGCACACAATAGTGCTGTCTAGACCTGCCCTGATTCTTTATGCATATACAAGTGCTGTCTAGGCCAGCCAGATTCTTTATGCCAATACAAGTGCTGTTTAGACTGGCCCTGATTCTTTATGCACACAAGTGCTATTTGGACTGGCCCTGATTCTATATGCATACATATATGTAGTTTAACAATTATCACATCTCTGTATTCCAATTCAATATCCTCTCTACAAGCCACAAGGTAATCCTCAAAGCATGGAGAATTTTTTTTCAAATCCAAAACATATATTTAAATTAGGCCTGAATAAAATACGGCCCGCGGGCTGCATGCGCCTCACCAGCACCCACTTTGCGGCCCACGAAGTAACGAAATATTCTTTATTATTATTATTTTCTTAATAGCTTTCCTTTCTGTCCTATTATCTTTCGGCCCGCACAAGTTTTTCATTCAGCATTACGGCCAGCATAAGTTTTTCATTCAGCATTACGGCCAGCATAAGTTTTTCATTCAGCATTACGGCCAGCATAAGTTTTTCATTCAGCATTACGGCCAGCATAAGTTTTTCAAGTATTGCGGCCCGCACAAGTTTTTCATTAAGTATTACCGACCGCCTTACATTTTGATTTCGTGTTTAAATAATAATATAAAAATATTAATATGAAAACATAAAAATAATAAAGTTACCTGCTGTTGTTCACCTGGCCATCATTTTTCTTTTCCTCTGACAAGATTGCTGTTTATGCCTGGTTCACAGTTCATCGGGGTAAAATTTGTTCTCAGGTAATCTTGTTCTCAGTCGACATTTTACAAATTTCAGTTACGAGCAATTTTGTTGCAATTTTTTCGGAGGAGTCAGTAAATAATTTCAGTAAGCAAATAATACTGAAAAATGCATCTGAATTAGAATTTTCGTTATGATTTCAGCTTAAGGAACAATTCTTGAAAGTATCAGAGTGATCTACATTCATGTTTGGTCTTAAAAATTCTGAATCCATCTCCCCATTATTTTCATAATCGTCGTCTTGGTTATTTATTACTTCTAGTAGACTAATTTCGTTGTCTTCAGTAAGACATTTCTTGAAGATGTCAAATTTAGAAGCAAAATCTACAAGTGCTTCATGAATTCTAGTTTCTCTCGCTTCAACGTTAGATCGCAAAAATGTGTTGCCGCAACGTTATTTATTACTGGAATTCCTCAGATGAAGCTACGACTCCAGGTATGTCATTTCAAGTTTTTTAGAAAAGGGGGAGGGTTGGGGGGGGGCGAAAACTTGGCACGCTTGGAGTATTTTTTATTGCTGGAGGCCCCTTCCATTCTCAAAATGACGTACCTGGCTATGAAATGCAGATATCCTGCCATTTCATGTAAATCTGTTGCTAAAACTATGTAACACTGTCTTAAAACTGTATAACTAGCATCAGCATGAATTTTTTTAATTAGATCTAACAATGGTTCATCGTCTGCAATTTCTCCATCAAGCATGTTTCGTTTTACAGAATACACGGGCAATCACTCTGTTTCAATTTCAACGTCAAAATCCTAAAGTTCTTTATCTATTGCGGGTTATTCGCCCACTGTGGTGAAGTGATGTGCGGCATTATTTACAGCGTGGAATTCTTGAGAAAAGTTATTTAATTTCTACATTGTCTTTTCATCTATTCTCCTGGTGGGCGTCCAACCAAGTCCTTTTTTTTTTGGTTGAAAATATTTAGAGTACTCGTTGAAAAATTCTCAAAAAGATTTGTGCTGTTAATTTCAATTGTACTTCCCATTAGAATTGCATTTTCCGCGAACTTTTAATGTTTTAAATTTCTAAATTTCCGAAGATTTCAGTCAATAAAGCATCTTACGACCACCATTTAAAAGTTCCCATTGTATCCAGACGTCAAATATCGCTCAATTCGTTTATTTGTTCAGCCTATACATCCAATGCCAGCAGAGAAGGCCATGTAAACGTCGAGTCAATCTTTTTGGCCTGCAAGCAAGTCTTGCAAGGACAGCAACTCATTATTTTGCTATTCAAAATTGTATTGTCTACGTCTTCGTAGCAGTTAGCGGCCGTCGCGTTGCCCTTTGGGGTGCGCGCCCACTTGGTAATCCCTGATGAGTGATCACCAATAAATACTATTTGTTTCTCTACATTTACCATACTTTAATTTCGCGGTGAACCAAGTTGGAAAAAGTTTGGAAGATTAAAAAAAAAATCCTGAAAATTTCATTATTTTCAAAATTCAATAAGTGTATTTCGGGAAAATGGATGGAAAGGTGTTTATTGTGTTTCTAAATTGTTATTTTTAAATTCATTTAAGAAGAGTTTAAATTTAAAGAAGAGAAATTTGCACCTGCTCTCAATTCTCATTGTTCCGCATCACACTATATGACCTGGAATAAGTAAGTTGTTATTCATATCAGTACAAGTACAAACACTAGCGTAGAAAAATAGGGAAAGGGAGTGGGCAGATGGTCCGTCCCAGGCGGCACTTTTTTCTATACATTGAAGGGGTAGCCTCTTTGACCAAACTGCAGAGTTCTTGCTTTTTTGTGAGGGCGGTAAAATCTTGCGGGCGGCAACTAACCCTACGCTAATGAGTACAAGGGCATTAACATTGATTGAGTTGACTGTGGTTGTGGTGACTGATAGGTCTCATTAACACGCATAAAAACTCGGCATAACCTGAACATCAGACCCTGATTAGACTCCGCTAATTAAATTACTTTGAATGCAAGTAGGCAGCCCCAAGACATACAATATCACAAAGTAACCCGAGACTTACAATATAACAAAGTAACCCAAAACTTACACTATCACAAAGTAACATGAGCCGAGATATTTACATTTGAAGAAACCCTGTTGCCCAAGCTGACCATTTGTCAGGGGATGTGATCAAAGCCCGGGACTCTCTAAGTAAACGAGATCCCCTCTTGACTGGCCGGCCACACGAGACTCATTGACGCAATGATGGTTAGACCAGATGTGTGGTAGACCAACTCACATCTTATGGGTCCTGTAGCCTATAGTGTTTTAAGTGCTTCACGTCCAAGTTCGGATGACATCATTAGGCCCACCAAAAATAACACGAGCCTGATACAGGGTGATGATTGACGCAAGTCAAGGCAAATTAATTACACTTTTGTTTTTTTCACCGACGCTGTTATGAAAAAATGCGTAAATGGATCTAGTTGTGCGTGTGAACAGTTCTGGATGTGTTGAGTAGCATTGGAGGCTACCTACTGTCTTGGCTAGGAAACGTTTTCACACGTAAAAGTAGCGGACGTGCTGCAAATTGCATCGTTGTGGCAACTAGAAGTGTGTTTAAAGACAACAACTACTCGTTACTGTTTTAATGGATCAACTGGCTGACATATCCAGTTTCTTGGGTTGAAAGCAACCTTTGGCCCTTGGATCGATACAACTGTTTTCGATTAAGTTGCGATGTTAGCACAAATAAATAAATGAAGATACCGAGTTTCAGAGTCTAGAGGTCAACACCCAGTTCTGCGATTTTTTTTTAAAGAGCACATGTTAACCACATACCCGGGTATGTTTAATGGTGTTCACGGAATTAAACATCTGGTGTGTGAAGCTAATACACCATTGATAGACCTGCGTCTGTGAAGTTCGTTTTAACAGTCATTACACTTAGGTCTGTGACGCTTAAACTCTGTGTATATTCATGTCAAAGAGAAATTACGCATTTGGAGACACCTGCAGAATACGTTGAGATCAGTGGACCGGGAGTGGGACGTACTTTGACCATGACCTGGCCACGCTGTTTCGGCGGTGTCTCCAAACTATCCAAGGAGTCATTTTTATTCTTTCACAACCCAAGTCATGACTTCATACTAACGATGGTACGTGCTTCCATTTTATTTTTTAACATCAATAATAATTAGCAACATTTATTCTCATACAACGTTGCACTATTTTAGTTAATGCCTTATAGTTAAAAAAAATAATTCATTACCGTTTAATTATATAAAATAACCCACAAATTTAACCAATATAAAATAAATATTTTAACATCGTTTTATGGCGAGATATGTATTGTCTACCTATTTGTCGAGATGTAGCTATCACAACACAACTATCACAATTAACTGAAGAGCTCCAAGGGAAGCTACTGAGATTATAACATATTTCTTCAACCAGTGCGCATTTTAATATTTATTCCAGAAGTCTGTAATACGTGTTTTTCATTAATGAATTTAATGCGGTCAACTTTGAGTGCTTCCAGTGGCATATACACAATGGGGGACGAAAAAAAGGGGGGGGGGTTGTCCGCCCCTGGTTGTACATGTTTCTGTATATAAAGGGTGGCACTTTTGGCCAACGGCAGAGGTTTTTTTACGGGAAAGGGGCGTACGATATCTTGGCCCGCCCCAGGTGGCAGTAACCCTATCTAAGCTACTGAGCGTTTTTATTAAAACAGAGAACACACAGGCTGTAACAGACAACGTGTCTAACGGTCTGAACATTTATGTGTGTTTGTGTCTCTGTGTGTTTTTTTTTTGGTGGGGAATGCCCTTAATACAATCCTGGTTTATTTTCGAGTGAATTACGTAGATTCTCTAATCCTCCCTACGTGGTGAGAGACACACGTTGTGGGCTGTATCTGAGTAGATTTTGATCATCATCCTGTATCAACCCAATGTGGGGCATAGCTCATTAAGGATGTTACTCTGTTGGGTGTCTGTCACCACCCTCTCATCTCTCTATCGCTCTGCGTGTCATTACCATCAAAATTTAGGTCTGTTCTTGCTGCGTTGACAGGCCTCCAACAGCTCAGTAGCGCTATGTAATAAGAAGTGAAAAAAGGGGGTGGCCGGGAAGGGGGGGGGGTCCGTGAGTTTTGTAATAGCAAGTAAAGGGGTTAGTGGGTTTCGTAATATCAAGTAAAGGGGTTAGTGGGTTTTGTAATAGCACGTAAAGGGGTTAGTGGGTTTTGTAATAGCACGTAAGGGGTTAGTGGGTTTTGTAATAGCAAGTAAAGGGGTTAGTGGGTTTTGTAATAGCACGTGAAGGGGTTAGTGGGTTTTGTAATATCACGTAAAGGGGTTAGTGGGTTGTGTAATAGCACGTAAAGGGGTTAGTGGGTTTTGTAATAGCAAGTAAAGGGGTTAGTGGGTTTTGTAATAGCACGTAAAGGGGTTAGTGGGTTTTGTAATAGCACGTAAAGGGGTTAGTGGGTTTTGTAATAGCAAGTGAAGGGGTTAGTGGGTTTTGTAATATCACGTGAAGGGGTTAGTGGGTTTTGTAATAGCACGTAAAGGGGTTAGTGGGTTTTGTAATATCACGTGAAGGGGTTAGTGGGTTTTGTAATAGCACGTAAAGGGGTTAGTGGGTTTTGTAATAGCACGTAAAGGGGTTAGTGGGTTTTGTAATAGCACGTGAAGGGGTTAGTGGGTTTTGCAATAGCACGTAAAGGGGTTAGTGGGTTGTGTAATAGCACGTAAAGGGGTTAGTGGGTTTTGTAATAGCAAGTAAAGGGGTTAGTGGGTTTTGTAATAGCAAGTAAAGGGGTTAGTGGGTTTTGTAATAGCAAGTGAAGGGGTTAGTGGGTTTTGTAATAGCAAGTGAAGGGGTTAGTGGGTTTTGTAATAGCAAGTAAAGGGGTTAGTGGGTTTTGTAATAGCACGTGAAGGGGTTAGTGGGTTTTGTAATAGCAAGTGAAGGGGTTAGTGGGTTTTGTAATAGCAAGTGAAGGGGTTTAGTGAAGTAGATTCATTGTCTGTGAATTGCCTCAAAAATATATTTTTATCGGTCACTATTTAGTGTATTGATATCAATAAAGTAGGCTATTACATTTGTAGTAGAGTAGTTTGAAATGTTGGCCACAAGGCAGATGGTCTTTAATCCCTTAATATCCAAACAAGCTACCGCCGGCAAGTAGGCTACAAGCATTTGACATTTATTACTGGTATGTGTGTGTGTGGGGGGGAAAAGGGGGTTGGTATGAAACACTGAAAATCTTTAATATTATAAAAAGGGGGGGGGGGGGGGATGAAACACTGAAAATCTTTAATATTATAAAAAGGGGGGGGGGGTTGTATGAAACACTCAAAATCTTTAATATATATTAATTTCCCATTTTTGTATGATGATGGGGAAAGGTTTATTTAATAACTATTAAAATGGGTTTGGTTGAGAACAACATGGGTTCAATCAATCGATACAAAGAATATGCGAGAAGAAATAATCTCACATTTGTTGCACTATTTGTGCGTCTACAATTCTAATTTATAAAATTTAGATTTCTAAATTTAAGTCAAACGCTGAGAGTGAGATATGATCAAGGAAGGTATAACTTGTACTACTACGACAGGCCTTCCATGACTGAGATACTATCACAAATACAAGCAAAGTTTTTTTTTCACCATGGTAGAACCCATAGCTTCTAACCACCTCACCCCCCCCCCCCCCACCACCGTCCATAAATCTATCACACTGTTATACTATAGGCCTACTTATTTTTTTACTGTTATATATAATGACATGTACCCGTACAAAGAAAAAATTTCGTCCGGGGCAAAGCCTGAAATTTGCGCCCCCCTCTCTCTCCCCGTTTCATCAATAAAACATACACACACCACTCGTATATATAGAACTTTTTTTCCCCCAGAGTATTGACAATTTTGGAGTTACGTGCCGCCTGAGACTCTTCACGGCTTGTTTATAAAAAAAATATTTAAAAAATACAAAGTTAAGGGTGGATTCAATACATGGGGGAAATCCCATTTTTCTTTATTTACAAGTGCTTTTTTTAACACTTAACTCCCCACACTGTGATCCTACACTCGAGTTTATAGCCAAGGCTTACATTCAAAGTGGAATAAGTTGCCAAGTCAATGTCACCACAATTTCAAGCTCTCTAATTACGTTTTATTTATAGGGCTGGTTTCATTATTAAACATTTTACTTTTATTATTGATTGAGCAATGATTTAACATTATTAACTTCATTTTATTTTAAGATCAACTGAAATTCAGATTTCTTCTATTTTTTGTGTGCTGTTAATACCTAATTCTTTTTAACACATGTTTCACAGTGGACTAACAATGCCCTGCTGTACGCTGTTTGGTCATCCATCTGCTGTTTATACAGCCTCACAATGGTCATCTACAGTGGAATGGGTGCAGGGTATGGTGTCAAAATTCTCATCTGGTTGACCTACTGGGCTTTCTACAGCCTGACTCTCCGATTCATTGTTACAGCCACCAACTGCTGGTATTACTACTTCTTTGGTGGAGATGTCTTAAACAACAATGATGTTAATGTTAATCAGACAAGTACAAGTAATGGTGGCACATCAAACACAACCAAACAGAGGCTCTACATTGATCTCCCACAAGATATAGATGACAATGTACAGATAAAAAGTTGCCAGGAAGAAAAAACGAGCACTCCAGAGAGCAATCAAGAGCTACCCATCAACCTTGCCTTTCAGTGGTTTTTACAGAACATTTCAAATGCTGTATCGCTGTTGGTGACAGCACTGTTTTGGGCTCTGGTTTATACAGGTTAGTAATAACCATTACATTATTCAAAGCCCATTAAGCAATTTGGAATATAAAAATAATAAATAGAGGGGAAGACTTATTTTGAAAAGGCCCAGGCCAATAACTGGGCCTAACAAACTAAGGATAAAGCAAAAATCCCTAAGTCAACTGACCAAGCCATATTGGGAACTGGTTCTCTCAAATTAGAATAAACAAAAAAATAAATAGAGGGGAAGACTTATTTTGAAAAGGCCCAGGCCAATAATTGGCAAATATAACAAAATAAGGAAAAAGAAGCAAACATCCCTTAGTCAACAGACCAAGCCATGTGGTGGTTATATTAGTAATTAGTAGACTTTGTAGGATTTTTAGTTCACATTTTGAAGCTAAATTTCAAGGGAAATAAAGATCTCAATATCTGATTCTTGTAAAAAAAAATTATCACTGTTCTCCAGCTATTTTTTAAATCTTTAAAAAAAAACAACAACCCCCCCCCCCCCCCCCCCAAGCTTAATTGCAGTCTTTCCTTATTTATTAATCCTTATGAACAACTTCAGTATTTACGAGCTATTAGTAAGGTGCACATTTTAATGAAATTATATATGAAATTAAATAATGATGCCCCCATGATTCTAGTTACTAATTTTTTAAAAATCCTCTAAGGCGATCCACAGACCTACGTTAGCATCAACTCCCACGTCTTGAATTCTTTGATGGTCCTATCAGATGTCATGATAAGCCGGGCGCCCATCAGAATCCAGCATGCTCATGTTCCCATTACGTTTCTGGGCATCTACATCTTCTTCACAATCATCTACTGGGCAGCGGGTGGGACCAATCACCTTGGTCGACCTCACATCTACAACATTCTGGACTACTCCACAAAACCTGGCACAGCTGCTGTGGCTATCCTCTTGGTGGCTCTCATAGCTGTTCCTCTAACTCAGCTTTTCCTTTACGGGATCTATCGCCTAAGAGTTTGCTTACATTTGGCTTGCAGAAAACAAGTGATAATGCAAAAAAAAACTAAAGAGATTCATCTCAGCGACATTGTAGCCCATGACATGGATGGATATTCTATTAAAATGAGACCAGGAGACAAGTAGTAATTTTTATGTCATTTATCAAAATATGAAAATGTTGCTTACCAGTATATATTATGAAACTTTTATAGATAAAGTGATATAAAAACTTTAATTCTTAGTGTGTTGTCATATATGATTGCATTGCACTATCATAATTTGTGTACAGTATCAAATCAAGGCCTGTCCAGTCATTTATTTTCTTAATTTTTAAAACTTTTCATAAAAATTCCGGAGAGTATACATAAATATTGATAAGATAAAAACTTTTAAATAATAATACAGTTAGAAAAGAGCAAAGCGTCCAAAATTAAAACCTTTAAATTATTTTAATACAAATAGGTCAACATTTTTAAAAGAGATAAATTAAAATAAATTAATTTATTTAGACAAATGTGAACGACTAATGTATTTGAGCAAAATAATTAAAATGTGTGTGTGTGTGCATGAATAATAATATAACAAATTATAGTTGTATATAAAAAATGTAAGGCATATTAATATGAGACTTTTGTTTTAAATGCAATATGTTACATAATTAATTGATATTTCAGTACAGAAATTGTTATCAAGATGGTCTTCCAATAAAATCTAACTTATATACTGTCACTCTTCCAAAAAAATCAGTGCTTTCATCAAAAACAATCTTCAGTGTGGACAATGTGGTTGCCTCTGGGAGGTGAAAAATCTGGGGAGCATAATAATAATATTTTAGTTTTGTAATCAATAAGCCACAATATATGCTGATGAGGCCAAAATCATAAAAAATAATATAAAGGCACAATAATAATAAAGTCCTATACAAAAGGTAACAAGAATTAAAAATAGTGGTAAATGGTCATTGGAGATGCCACTATTTTCTCAATGGTCGCCATCTTGGTTGACACCTCATGTGAAGTCACGTGAGGTGTCAACCAAGATGGCGGCTAAAAATTAGTGCAAAACACATGTTTTTAAAAAGGAAGGCAAGGGAGGAAAGATGTTTTAATTTTTAAAAAATGAAAGGAAATAAATAAATTTAATAGCATTTTTTTGAAGATCTATCCCTATGCCTAACCCGAACCCTAAATCAATCCCTATGCCTAACCTGAATCCTAAATCGACCACTGTGCCTAACCCGAACCCTAAATTCTATCCTTATGCCTAACCCGAACCCTAAATCGATCCCTAAAACTAGCCCTAAAGCCACAAGTAAAACATGTGGAATTAACACACTGTGGCAAGAAAACGCAAAAAATGAAGAAGAAAAAACCCAATAAAAAATGGCGAAAAATAATAACATAAATAAATAATGAAAACCCAACTTACAGTTTCATGAAATACACTTTTACACACTTTAATTCAGATTGCACAAATAATATCCAGATAATGAATGGAGCACAAGAACAGGCAAGCTCTGCCAAAATGAATGCAATATGGTGGCACAAATAATATATGCAAAATAGCCAACCAATCATAATTTATAATTATAATTAATCAACCTATTAAAATTTTAATACAAAACAGGTCATCAGCGTACGAATAATAAGACATAACAAAATAATTATCTTAAAATAAACAAAGGGAAGTGACTCTACCAAAAATACGTCATGGCACCCCGAATGATCATTAGCCAAAATGGTTGCACTATAAACATTACTTAATTGTAAAGTAGAATAATGAAGTAACTATTTTAAAAATAATTTTTGATTGTGTAACTTAAAGAAAGTGCATAATGGCTATGGAATACATAATTATAAATAAACTAAAATTTACTAACCTGAACCTGATTTGTATCAAGAGGATGAAATGAATAAAATTGCACAAAATTATTGCCAAGGTCCCCATGCTTTTCTAAAGTGCAAACCTTCCCCACAAAACCACCTTGAAATTGAATCTGTATTTCTTTAATAATGACCTCTTGTTTAAATTCTATCATGACCCACTGGGGTGATCCCTGAAATGACAAGAAATGAAAAATATTTTAATTCTGATGAATATATTTTACTAACCTTTAGTAGAACATTACAATTTTTGCCAAAAATATTTTACTAAGTGTAACATTGAAAGCAAAAATTATAAACATCTGGAGGGAGTTAAGATTTTTTCATTATTCAATTTAAAATAACTAACCATTTAACAGTGGAACACCAGAGTTAAATGAAATTTAAAAAAATAACTAGATACTGATCAGACACGGAAACCATTAGAGAAAATTAATAATTTTTTACATGTGGTAGAGTGGAATGTTGGGGATTGTTAAAACATGACAAAATAGTTGATAGAAATGTGAATCACATCTTTAACTTCTCTGCAGAATTTATTCAAAATGGGGAAGGGGTGGTTTAAGTCAGCCAGTCATGGCTGGAAGCTTTAGTTAAATAATAAGTAATATTAAAACTAGATGCCTGACATAACTACTTATGTCTTAACATTATTTATTAGACTTTTGCAATACAATCCCATACCTGATCAGAGTTCCAACATGTCTCTTCATCCCCATCAAAAAGATGCTGTTTACCAAACTGCTTGTTGTCTTTGTTTAACACTGAACTTATTCTGAAAGAGAAGAAAGAAGAAAAAAATACTATAATCACGTTTTAAAAAAGATATAATATTAATTATGAAGTTAAGTAATATTAAAATAAATCTTAAGAATTGCCATAATCATTATAATCACAAAAATATTGTGCAAAGTAAGGCAAGCAGTAGTGGTGGACAGTACAAGCTCCTCCTTTGTCAATGTGAAGTCAGGGGTCCCCCAGGGATCAGTGCTAGGCCCTTGTTTGTTCCTAGCATACATTAATGACCAACCCGTGAAACTTACATCCCAAGCAAGATTATTTGCAGATGACACTGCAGTGTATAAGACGATCGCCAACAGATCTTAACAGGACCAGCTAAAACAGGATCTCAGTCTGTTAGCTGAGTGGGAGATGAGCTGGGACATGGAATTTCAACCTGCCAAATGCCAGACACGATCAGTCTCTAGAAGTTCTACTCCTCTACACTACCAATACGAACTGCATGGCCATATACTTGAGCCAGTTTCCTCAGTAAAGTACCTGGGTGTTACCATTCAAAGAGAGGTCCGTTGGGACGAGCATATTAACAATGTATGTAACCAAGCAAACAAGACACTGGGGTTCTTAAGGCGTAATCTAAAGATTGGCAACTCCTGTTTGAAAGAAAGAGCATATAAGGTCTTTGTCCGTCCGGTTTTAGATTATGCATCTTCAGTCTGGGACCCATTTACCCTGAAGAGCATTGACAGGTTGGAGGCGATCCAGCGACGGGCAGCACACTTTGTCCTGAACCGCTACAGGAATACCTCTAGTGTTGGCAGCATGCTGGAAACACTAGGCTGTTCACCATTGGAGGAACGACGACGACAATCCAAGCTCTCCATAATATACAAGATAAATAATGGGCTGGTCCACTGTTCCAGTATTAAACAGAAACTCGTCCCTCTCCCTCATAGACAGCAACGAGGCTTTGACAGGTAATTCCGGCTCATACCAGCAAGAAGCCAGTATAGGAACTGCTCATTCCTGCCCAAGACAATCAGGGACTGGAACAAGCTTTTGAAAGGAACAGTTGAGGAGACAATACTAGACACTAGACACATTTTTGTCTATTGCCTCAAGCCTTCAAACCCCCAGTGCATGATTCCCTCACAAAGTGGCACTTGCTATCATCATTACCAGGCACAGAAACATTGCAAATCCCCTCTACATGCATAGGAGCCAAAATGATAAATAAATTGATAGTGGGCCCTTAATATATAATATATAAAAGAAGGCTGACACTTTGAAAAACTTTTATCACAATCCATTATGTAATTTAAAGAGTGATTGTTAGAGTATGGGTCTGGGTCAGAGGCGTAGGGCAGGGGGGGACAGATGTCCCCGGGCGCCAGCTAGTTAATGGCGCCAAAATGTGCTTTGATATTATTTTATTGATGAAAATAATGGGTTTGAGAGTTGCGTGCCCTCTGATTGACCCCGCATGGGACGCTGTGTTCACAAAGGGGTGTGGCTTAGGCCTTTGATGTATTCTTGTTTATGCCGCCAACCACTAAAAATAATTAATCTGTTCCAAATAGTATTTTGTAGAATAAATCTGATTATTCTAGAAATGCCTTGTAGCTGCTCGAAGGCAGGGCTTAGGCGTCGGTAGACCCACCTATATAAGGGATTGACAGGCACGGACGGGGACGGAGATTTTCAGATAGATTTTCTTAACATTACGAGGCGTGTTTTATTCTTTGTGTATTTGTGTGCTCATATGTGTTTATTTCGCATTATTTATTGGCATATTATTCTAACTGTGTTAACTGTGTACCGGTACAAGATCTACCATACTGTAAGTTGAAGATTGTAATTATATTTTTCTTTTCTTTTGTAATTATCTTAAGACATAATAAATCTTATTAATTGTAACTAGAAACTGTTTTGGGTCGTATCTTTAATATTGTTGATTCTATGGTATCGTCCTTTGTTAGGCACTGTTTACAACGAGCCAATTAAAATAGGAGATAAATTTCTCCCGATATAAGTCAGTGCGTAACACAAATGATAGGGAAACTTTGTGGATGCCATATTCTTCTAGCACCCTTTACAATATTTACATAAGTAAGGGTATGAGCTAAAAAAAAACCCAACTACAGTTATGTCTCACGATCCAGAGGGGCCTCAAAAACTTCAGAGAGGGGCTTAAAGCACAGGAATGACAGGAAACTAATTACTGTTTAAACAGTTTTAAAGTAAATATATATATGTGTGTACATGGTGTGTTGGAGGGCTAAATAACATTGTCACATGAGGCAGTCAAAAATTGTTATTCTTTTAATGTTAATAAAATCAAAATGTCCCAAAATTTCATTGAGTTACTAACTAATTTGACCAATTATGAGTAATTTCAGAGTAATTAACTTAGCAGAAGCAGTGGTGTGAGTGGAGATCAGACAATCAGGAAAATATATAACCTCGTCCGTGATATAATATTGACTAATGAGCTCGTTTCTGAAGACATCGCGAATAAGCGCTGCAACCATCACATTCACAACAGTGAAAGTAGAAGTAGGACACAATCTTTTTTTTTTCAAATCCCATGCAGCGTTTCCGTTTTCAGGAAAGACAAGTCAAATACTGATTTTGTGATCGTTAACTGTGTTAAATTACATATACTCTATGAAATTCAATGTCTCAATCTCCTCAAAACATGTTATTCCCATTAAATTAGCACAGTTACTTAAAATTAGTTTTAAAAATATTCTTATAACTCATTTGACAATATGACATGAATGAAAGTGAAAAGAATGAAAATTACAAGCCGGCACAAGTGCTGTCCGAGAAACGAAAGTAGAGGTGACGTAGGAAGAATCCACTAAAGGTAAGTTAGAGTAGTTGAGTAGTAATTAGTAATGATAGCAATTTTCAACGTTCTGACTATCAGGCCAAATGGAATACTCTGTGCAGTAATTTAGTAATAACTGAAAGTAAACTTAGTAATGTTATCACTTTCGAAGGTGACAAAGTGTGTCTTTACTCGGAACTGCTCAAGAGAACTTCTCGCCTTAAATTTGTTAAAATTAAGTTAAGTCAGTCGTATTGACATGTCGATTAGGCGTAAGGCGTAAGCCTATATACTATATAGCCTATGCCTATATTCTATAAAGAAAGTTAATTTAGTTTTTTCTATTCAAATTATTTAATCAGAATGAGCATGCTTTGTTGACTTTACTTGGGGTCACCAACCTTTTTTCATCGCGGGTAGTATATCGGCCAAAATGACGAGTGCGAGCCGTATAATCATTCACATTCAGTACAATACTTGCAAGCCAGAACGAAAGCTCTGGGAAAAAGACGAAAACTAAGTTTAGCAATTCATCTTAGTCATGGTTGAATGGCGTGCAATGTACAAAAAACAAAGACAACCAACATATCTTATCTATTCACTAAGTTATCAAAGAGGGCAACGTTAGCAAAAACATAGTTACATCAGACCTAGTGGGCACATATTCGAATCAAACAAAGCAGCTAAAAAAGGTTAGCGAGATTTGTGAAAGTGACGTTTGGCTTTCAAGATATCATCGTTTGGTTTGGAAATGCTGCATCCCATCAAGAGAATTGTTTTTAAATGATCATCCGTCACTCTTGTTCGATGTGTTGACTTCACACACTTATTTTTTTAAAATGTTTGCTAACAGACATAAGTTGTTCCAAACAATTATGCCACACCAGCAGCAAAGTTCTTCAGTTTCAACAACCCAACATCAGGAAGGCAGTGGTAAAATTTGACAAGTTTTCTTTCTCTGTGCTTCTCTTTCAACAAGTCATTTGCTTGCTTATCAATGAGCTCCAATTGTAGTTCAACTGGTGCATCATCAAGGCTACAATCAAACTTTGACAGCCAGGTAGTATCTGACAGCCAGTTAGGATCTGAAAGCTTTTGATCAGCTATATCTTTTTCAGTGAGAAAAACATCTATTTCCTGTCAGAGCTTACAGAAACAAAACAGACTTTTACCGCAGCTTAGCCTCCTCGCGGCTGTGTGATAAGGCAAGTCACATAGTTCAGAATCAATTTCTTCAAGAAAATTCTGGATCTGACAGTGATTAAGTGCATCGCCCTGAATGAAGTGCATAGCAGAAACAACTGGTTTCAGTATATAAGAAACATTTAAGTCTTTTCTACAGAGTGCTTGCTGATGTATGATGCAGTGTATGAACAGAGTGCCCGGAACTTGCAAATCTTTCAACTGAGTCCTGATCTGCCCCACCAGACCTTTCCTCACGCCAGCCATGTTTTTCCGCCATCAACTGTAACACATCAAAACTGATGCCACTGAAGGTTATAGTTATAGTGTGCAAAAGTTTTTACGCTTCCATGAAAATGCATTTTCTAGTTGTTCCATGCATGGATGTCAACTCTTCTGTTATCTGAAAGTCCAAATCGACTCATCCAGTGCCAGAGAATACCAAATCCAAGTTCCAAGCTTTCTGACGAACTGTAGCACTACATTCTCTCCAAGTTCTTGTGTTCTCCACACAACCGAACTTGCCGAAAGGCTTGTGGTTCCAACCGCGGCGAGTATGATTTTTAATGCCCCCATATGTTTCCAAAAGTCCTTTTCTTTCACCCATTTACAGTTTGTGGTGGTTATCAGAATTTAGTATATTGGTGGGAATATGCTTAATGGATATTGATTCTTATTTTATTATTTTTTTAAAACCAGCTTTCCTATTAAAAAAAAATCAAGTTAATTGGTAGGTTTTTTTAAAATGATTTCATCATTTTTAAAATAATTATTATAGAATTATAGTTTGTTTTATGCTGATCTGACTTCGAGTTTGAACCTTGTTACATTTCACTAGTAACTTTATTTTTACCAGTGATAGACTGTGATAATGTGATTTGTACGTCCACTAAATATAAATTAATATCTTTAGCAAATACACGTCACCAAAAAAAAAAAAAAAAGGACAGCAGATTGCAATATAGACGTCAGTCATCTTCTTTAGACATTAAATTTTTCTAAGCCAGCTTAACTCGATCCCACTAGGTACTGCGATTCGATTAGTTATTGTATTCATTATATATAAACTGAAGGTTTACTTATTTACTATTAAGATGCCGTATTGTACGATTTTGAGGCAATATTGTATGATTTTAGGAGCTTGAGGGTATACAGGTCTGCAATAAGCAAATAAATCTAGAGACAATGATTTAGAATTGAAAACAATAAATTTAAGGCGCATAGATGCCAGAAGGTCTCCGCTCGTGTGAAGATCTCTTAGTATTCTAAACATAATATTAAAATTTTAATTGTATCACGTCTCATGTTCCATACACTTTGTCAAACAAATTCAAGTACCGTCGGCGGCCTCATGAACTGATGTCGCTGGCCATATCCGGCCCGCTGGCCATAGTTTGGTGACCCCTGACTTAGACTAACTTTGACTTTGGTTGAACCAAATGACATTGATGAATGACAGTATTATTATAATACTGATACTTTGAAAATGTGAAACTGAGTTGAAATTCTGATTCTTAAAAATTAAATAGAGACTATAATAATAATAATATGATATATGTAAAAGATTATGAATATGATTAAATTATGATGACTGTCACAATCATAGACCCTTGGTTATAAGTTGATCAACCATTTTTTAGTTAATTATTTGACATAATATTAAATGAAAAATTTCAGTTTTGGAAAAACTATGGTTATACTTTTATTTAAATGGATTTAATTAAGATTTTAGTGATTTTTTTATTATTATCTTACTTAAATGTAAAACATTATGTTAAAATCCAATTTAAATCCCAAACATTTATTTAAATAACATACACTTATACTTATAGACTAAATATTATGTTTAATCTTTATTTATAAAAATTATTAAACTTAAAAATCTTTAAAAAATCCTTAAAAAATTTAAATTTAAATAGATCTGACTGATATCATTACATAATATTCCGTTTAAATTAAAAAATTCCTATTTAAATTTAAAAAAAAAATTGATTTAAATACCATTATTTACTTAATTATGTTTAACCTTTAAAAATATTAATTTACTTCAAAATAAACAATGGTCAATGGTTAAAAAAAAAGAGAGAAAAAAATCAAGTTCAAGAAACAAACCAGATTTAAATTTTAAAAATGAGGTTTAAATTTAAAAAATTCAATTTAAATATGTTATACTTAATCTTTATAAGCCTTATAAGCACTAACATTCTTCAAAATCTAAAGAAATTCTTTTAAAAATGATGTAAAGATTCAGTTTACATTATTTAAAACCTATTACAATTAAATAAATCAGATAAACAAAAAAAAAAATCTTGATTTTTGTCAACCCTGACTCCCCAGGTAGATAAGATTAGAATTTAGATGTCCCCAGTCAAAGTCAAATTGTTAATATTATTTTTTTTTTCAAAGTATATTCTCCAGTTTGGGTACAATCAAATCAATTGATAATTAAGATTATAGTTAGTGAGTAAGCCTACTATGTCTGATGTTCAACCAAATGTAGCCCAGTGAATAACCAAAATAACCAATTTTGAGGAGGAGGTAAATGATATCCTGACTAAAAAACATTATCCACAAAGACGGAAACAATATAATTTAAATAGTGTTTTTTGGTCACAATTTATTAGTGATTTGTATCATATGCTGGGAAACTGAAAATATTAAATATTTGTCTACAAAATAAGCAGACTAGGTCACTCAATTAACATAAAACAAAAGTTACAAGCTATTTGATTGATTGCTCTTAGGGAACTCCACTAGTATGTGTCAAAGTTCAAATACTCTTGAAAAGACTTGTCCTCTCAATAACATAATCATAGACAGCCACATTTTTACTGACTGGCAACAGCCACATTTTTACTGACTGGCAAGCAGTATGTTTATCATCATTTTGAGGAGCTGTTCTCTAGATTGTGATGGTCAGAAAAAAAATGCTTGAACTCAAGGGTCATACAATCTAATATTTAGCAAAAAGCTTAGAGAAGCAAAAACACCACCAGCATCCGGGGTAGATGGGACTTCTTGTTAATCTTGGATGGCAACTAAGAGAATGAAAACTGAAGTAAAACCCTTTTGCCATATGACATTGACTTAATGAAAATTCTTGCAATTCCTGTTATGCTTATCCTCCGAAAGAAAAATCACAGGCCATGTGTTTTTATCTTGCCGAAAGCTACATCACTGCCATGTTGTGACAGATGCCCAAAAAAAAAAATATATCCATTTAGCGTGATTTTGATTTACTCATAAAATATTATCATGATATTATTGTTCTTGATTTCTTATTCATTTGGGCCATTGAGTATTTTGACATGTGATTTCTGATATTCTTGAAATGAGCAATTATTTTCACAATTAAAAATTACAGAAACTACTCAAATAGCAGGAAGTGTTACAATGTTTGCAAGATGCCAAAGCCTAAAGATGGAAAACAAAAGGTACCAGCGGTAGTAAATAAAAAATTATTATGTATTATTTCATTCTATGTTTGCATACTAATCAGATTTATTTTTCTCTAAAATCATTTTAGTCTTTCAAATATTTGGGATGAAGAAAGGTGTAGAAAACTTGTGACATGTTATAAGGAATTGAAAGCACTGGAGATAATAGAATTAAACAATTAGTATTATTTCTTATAGGGGCGGCCCATGCTTTATTATTGTTCTTTTTATTATATTTATTCTTGTTGATTGCTCTACCAGCACTTTGATTTTTGTCTGATGCTTTATTTTCAAAATATATATTATACAAATATATATTATATTTACATCCTTTTTGTGTGTGCTTTGTCCCAATAATAGAAAATAACAGGCTCAGGAGCTGAAGGTGGAGCTACAGGACCAAATAGCACAAGTAATCCTGTCATTTTACAATCTGATAATTCCATAGCTATCAGAATTCTGGCAAAACCTGGTGCTAAACAGAATGGCATCACAGGTAAGTCTCTTGATGGATGGTCACAGCTTGGCTCATTTACTTCATGTGATTCACTCACATCGTTTGGGATTCAATATTAGTAAAGTTTTTCCATCATAAAAATATTATATTGATAAAAGAAATACTATATCATTTCATATTACATTCTCTCCTCCTCCCCCCCCCCCCCCTCCCATCTTTACCATACAGTTCTAAAAATAAAAAAACTATATAAATAAATTCAGATTAAATTAAATTATATAAAAGAAATGAAAAAAAAACCCCTCATCTCTATAACGTAATCATTTCATGGTAGTTGCACCTGTGTGATAACCTATTTCTTAAAATTTCATACGCGACTTTTGCCTCTATATTTTATCCAGTCGATGCATTGCTGCAGTAAATCTACCAACTTAATGTAATAACTTGATGCACACAAAAACCACCTTCATCAAATTATCATGTTCTTCAAAAGTGAAAAGAAATAAGGCTGTAATCATGATAATGAATTATTTTTTATGTTCAGTTTAACCTTTTCCACTACATTTTAATACAGTAATATTGAAATACATTTCTTAAGACCTATTGCAATAAATTGTATTCTAGAAGTCCTAGGGAAACTGTTAATGCAATGTTCTCCATAACTAGGTCAAGAAGAAAAGTTAGATATTGGTATGTTTGTAATATCAAGAAGTCAAGAGAATAAGATAGGCTTTGATATGTTTTTTTAACATACATATAGGTCAAGAGGATAATTAAGACATTGGTATAGTTGTATTATCATACATATTGGTCTTTAGCAGAATGTGACAATTAATTAATGTAAAGCATTGTTCTCCTTCATTAAGGTTTAACAAGTGAAGGAGTTGGTGTTCAGATTTCAGCACCACCTGTGGAGGGAGAGGCTAATACCGAGCTTGTGAAATACATATCTAAAGTACTGGGAGTCAGGAAGTCAGATCTTCAGTTGGATAAGGTATTTTAAAACTCCATTTTGCTATGCAGTGCATTTATCAGAGATGATTTTTTATGCAATTTAAAAACTTTATATCTAAAATCTAATAAGGAACACTCTATAACATTATGTATGCATACAAATTCAGAGTTCAAACAGAGCACAAATTAAAGAATCTATTTTTCAGGGATCCAAGTCTAGAAATAAAATCTTGCTACTTGATAAGAGTAGTGGTTTAACTGTTCAAGCTGTGATTGACAAGTTAACAGGGGAAGTTTCTTAAATTAAGCTAATGTTAAGTAAGTATTTAATCTTAAATGACCCAATAAATTATACTAGTTATAGCTTGCCAAACGTTGGCAACAGCAGTGCGTGAACTTCCCATCTGCTTAAGTTACATGACAAAACATGAACTCAAGTAACTCACATTTAAGAATCACAAAATTTACTGCAGCTCTTCCCTCCATGAAACGTCACTGGACAATTTTTATTTCACGCCCATGAACAATGTTCCCTCTAAGGTTTGTTGGTTCGTGTGCAAAATCATACAGTTGTGTGCAAAGTTTTACACTATCAATTTTTTTGTGTGCAAAATTTTACAGCCCTTAATACAAACACACACTTATATGGAAATTTGTTGGGCGGGACTCAAAACTGCTGCGCGGCGTCTGTGAAATAGCTGCGCAGCCGCCCAGTTTAAAGGGAACATTGCCCATAAACTATATTAATATTCTCATGTCCCAACCACTTTTTAACCGAATATTTATCACACCATATTTAAACTGAGACGATTTCATTTTCCGAAAAGAAAATATTATGCACCAAATGCAGTTGCCTTATTTAAAAAAAAATCATTTAGTGTAGTTATCTGGAATTTTATTTTGTGCGCTCTCTGGATATGGAAGCAGTGACGCCACAAGCGTAATATATAAGAGATTATTTGTGAATGTGTAGAGCAGTGTTTGCTATGTTTTTTACCTTACAATACACTAAAGCTGATTACTATAAGGTTTATTCAAGTATAAAGAAACATATCTACATTTTGTATAGGAAGAAAATGTCAAAACTTTACATCAACATATTTGTGTAAAAAATTGTTTCTAACCCTTTATATTTATGACACATTCAAATTAAAGACACAACAAAATATTTACTTTGTTGGCAAAATGTCATGAAATTAATGACCGACTATGCATGTAATTTGTTGGCAAAGTGCCATATTATATTTTTACATTGTTATTCCATTTGACACAATTTTGTGACGCTCCTGTTACTTTTGCTTACTAAAGTGAATGAAAACTGCTAATCTTGTGTACTAAATGGAACCACTAATACAAAGGTTCTAATAAATTGTACATTTAGCACAGTTAGAAACAAACTGCACTAAAAATCAGTACAGTGGGAGAGTGTTGTTTTTTAAAAAATAAAATAGCCACTGTTATAAAAATGGGAAAGAGGATTGCTCTGGTTTTCTCCTTGTCAGCACAATAGTTTCAAGTTCTTATAACGGTTAAAATATTTAAATACTCATTCAATATAGATGTTCATTATTAACCTATTCTTTCCATAGGTCAAAGATGTGTGCAAACTTAAGTGGTAATATCAACATGGCTTATAAAGGAGCACAGTTGCTAAGGATGTCATCCCCTTTAGTCCATCCTCTGAGATATATATCGTGTACGTATACCCTGAGACACAAGACATACAGGAATGACAGTGTTTCACTACTGAAAGTTGGCCCAAGTAGAACACAACAGTTTCCCAATGAAAGGACATCATTAAAAGTAAATGGAGATCTTCGGACATCATCTGACCTTGAATCTGACAGACGATACAAAACTGAAGATAGAGAAAGCAAAATAATTTCATCAAAGAACGGCTCTAATTTCAATGGGCAGAATAAATCAAGTTTCAAATCGATGGTCATGCCACCTAGTCAGAAAGCTTGGAAATCTGAACGTCTTCCAATGGCTATTGATAAGGCACCTGTTTGGGTATTGAAAATTCATAATGAGCTAATGAGCTCAGCAGTGCTGCCAGCTCCTACTAAAGGTAATCAAATGTTTACAATGATCAATCTTTTAATTGGTTTACAAATCCGTACAGCTTGAGTTATAAAAATGTTAACTTTGAAAATATAATCAAATAAAATCTTAACATAAAATGCAAAACACAACACACACACACGCCCCATAATGAATGGCAGCTTAATGAAAAAATGAGGCAGGGGAAAGAAGAGAAACATTGCTGGTATGTTAAAACTTATGTTTTTAAAAGCCAGATACTTTATTTTTGGAAAATAAAATAATTTTATTTTTGTATTCTGTGCATTCTAATTAAAAAAAACTATTCATGAAATTTGTGTACATCTTTATCAGGTCCATTTGATTACAAACAAGCCACTTTACATCTTCTGAGTACTTCTCAACTGATGTCCTTAGCCCAGGCTGTAAAAACTGTCAACATTCAAACCATGAAACTGATTGTTGCATTATGGCGTAGGCTTGACAGCATGTCTGTTGACGAGATGTTAACTGTAGCAGACATCTTTTATAGAAATAATGTGCAAGCCCATGGCTACTTCAGTGCTCTAATAACTTACATCAGTGAAATGTTTGAGCTACTTGAATTCACTCCCCTGCAAATGACTCGTCTTACGTTTCACATCAAGAGTCATGGGGATGCTTCACCGTCATTGCTTCTCGCCATTGAAGACAGAATACTACAAAACTTTTCTAATTATACTATGAATCAGTTGGCAATAATATGTCATTTGTTTTTTATTGGACAAAATCGGATAAAAAAATTTGAACTACTGGATCTGATTGCCAAGAAATTATTAGATGAATTTCACACAATTAATAGTTGGTACTTGCCTATGTTGATGAAAATGTTAAGATTTTCCAACTATATCAACATAAACTTTTATAAAAGCTTGGGCGATGAAATTATTAAGTTGAATTTTTTGGAGAATTTTCAGAACTTGGGTCAAATCATGCACTTTGCATTTACATATTCATCTGTTCGTGTCACTCATCCATCACTCTTTGCTGCCATTCTTGTTAACTGTGAAGAAAGTAAACAGTTTTCAAGATTCAAAGACCTTTCAAAAATTATATGGTCAAGTGGGACTCTTGTCACAAATGACAAAGGACATATTCAGTCTTTAAATGCCATACTACAGCAAGTCAGAGAAAAGGTATCCATGGAGACATTTCGTGAATACCCAGATAATCTAGTTGACCTACTGATGGGTCTGTCTTTGTTAAACATTTATCCTGAGGATCTGTACAACATTCTCTTTGACCCCAGAGTTTTGAAGGTAGTGCTTGGTGAGTAAACAATAAATAAAGACTCTAAATTTGAAGAGCTGTTTAATAAAAAACAGAAATACTTAAACTGAAGCTGCTGTTAGTTTCCTTTAAAATTTCCAAATGAAATTCTTTTTAGGATTGTGAATGTTAATTATAGTCAAAAACAACTCATGTCAACACATTTGTGCAATGTCCTGTTAGTAAAAAAACAAACAATTAAAAACAAACATAACCAGAAATATTACGTTTTAATAGGTTGTATTTTAAATATTTTAAAAATATTTATGTTAGCATTTGGATCCTTAGTGATTTATTCATATTTAGAATTATCATAATTTGATGCACATTTCAGGTCTGAAGGAAGATCGTGAAAAATTTATGCAGTTACACTATTTTGACCAAAGTCTTTCTATCGAGTGTCCACAGTACTCAGGAAATCGCCTGTCTCAGGTAGGAAGAAACATTGAATAAATCATTTGTTTATATAATTATAAGGCGTCAAAGAATATTTTTAATTTAAATTGTATAGTTTAGTCTTAAATTATCTAGAAACATTTTATGCAGCATCTATCTTTTAGTTTTTCATGAGGCTCTTTTAGTGTATTTTCGATACTTTTGACAATTACACACCATATAAAAATAGATTACTTCCAGACGTAAATTCTTGTAGTTTCATAGATAGGGTGGCTATAAACTTGGTCAGGATTAAGTATCATTTAAAAAGATAGCTCAATGCTTATTTCCAAAAAATTGGATTCAATAGGTTTAGCAAATATGATAAAAAAGGCATATTATCATATTTCAGTAACCAAATAATTAAAGAGTTATTGTATTAAGAATTTTTTTTTTCAGTTAAATTAAATATTGTTAGTACCACTAGCTTTGGTATTGTTTTCTTTGCATACTGTTTTTCTCAGTCCTTCGTTATGTATTGTTTATTCTACAAGCCAAATCTTAAAACAGATTGTATCTTCAAAATCATCATGGTACATAACAGTGACTAATGTCAAAAAGATAGTGAACTAGTTATGGCTACAAGGAGAAAACATGTTTTATATGTTAATAAAAGAGACAGAGACATTTTATAACTCATCTTACCTCTCAACTCTGACTCTCTACCCCACTAAAAAATTACAGTTTTTCTGAACAAATTATTTAAATTTAAAAAAAACATCTATTTTGGATTATAAAAAAATATCTATAATTTGAAGATAATTTTAAAAAAAAATGAAATCATGCTTACAGAAAGCTAAAATGTGATTAATAAAGTTTTGGAGTTAAGGTTCTAATGATTTCCTGACATTCTTTCTTCTCTATAATATAACCTTAAACATTTTAGTACTGAAACTCTCATCATGTTCACAAACTGCAGAAATTATTATTTTTTTGTTGCTGTAATTATATTAAAAAAATTTCAGTCACAAAAGACACATATTCTTGAATATTTGAGATATATGACCCTAGAAGTGGACATGCAGTTCCGGGCGTCAGTGCGACCAGCAAAGGCTGCCCTTGAAAATGCTTTGGGAAATAACTACACCTTGTGCAAGTTTGTCCTCCCACATTTTAGGACGACAGGTGATAGTTTTATTAGAATAGATATAATTTAATTAGCTCAGTTTTGCTTAAAGGACATTTAAGTAAAAAAATAAAAACACCCAAAAATATTAGTAATCAAATTAATTTCCTTATATCATAACCAGAAAAATAACCCAGCTTATTAAATATCTGAGAAAATTATTATAAATTATTTTACATATGCAGCAATACCTTGCTACTTCGCGCTTCATGATTTTACTATATTTGGCTGGATTTTTATAGTATGCAGTAAAATTATTTTTTATATATTTATTATATTTTATATTTGTATTATTTTCTTATGTTTATTTACAAGTGTATACTACTGTACTGTAAAGTGTTTAAGAGCATAGGAAGAATTTATGAGAGTGTTGAAAAGATTAATAAAATTGTGTGTAAGAATTGTAAGAGTGTATGAAGGGTTTATTAAGCTTTAAAATATAAAAAAAATCCTACTTTGCGGTTTCTTGCATTTTGTGGGAGGGGGGGGGGTGTCTCAGAAAATAATCCCAGCTGTATTCAAGGTATTACTGTAATATTGAAACACTATCTATATTTTTTCTTTTAAAGATATTGTCATAGCTTATGACAGGCAAAAACAATGCTTTGTAAAGCCATCAGAGGTGCTGCTTCCAATTTCAGCTACTGAAGCAATGCATCTTGATAGAGAATGTAAGATCGAAAGGTCAGTATAAATTGTCAAACAAGTTTTACAATATTCAGTATGAATGCTATAATAAGTCTTACGAAGTTCAGTATAAATTCTCTAAAAATTATTGGAAATGTCATCATTACTATTTTATCAGGTATTTATTCGAAGTGTAAAATAAGTTTGACTAGAGTACATGACTAAAGATAAAATCTGTTGACAAAACATAGTTTCTATTTTTGTATTTATTGTTTTAAGTAAAAAAAAGCTGGTAATTTCTTTTCTTTAAGTATTGAAAGTACATTTATAAAGTGACTGAGGTCCGACATGGGAATAATCCATGAGATGGGAATAATCCGTTGTCTTGTTTCATTAGGTTGGTGTTAATGTTAATCAGCAAATCTCAGACGTCCTATGATGGAAAACCTCTTGGCATTTTGTATAGTAAAATGAGGCAGCTAAGAGCTCTAGGATATAAAGTTATAGAAGTAAGTATTACCTGAATTCCACTGAGTAACACCAATATGTAATAGTATTAGTTGGAGTTACTGAGCCGTAGTTTAATGCAATTTTCAAATACAGTTTCTGCATAAAACTGTACATACCATCCCATATTTACAGCTGTCTATTATGAACTTTTAAAAATTTTTAATTATTTATTTAATAGCTTTATAGCCGTAGAATCAAGCAAATTTCAGAGGGATATAGGAACAAGTTGATTTTCCAATGTAAAAATTGTTTAAAATGAAATGCTATAAGTTATAATAATTTTTTTTTTCAATGTATGATTCAGATAGAAGCTGAGGAAGCCCAGTTATATCCATTACAAGACATGAAAACAACTCAGAACATGCTAATCTCTCATATAAACAAGGCTTTGGGCACCGATGTCAGTTGTAACATCATCAAACAACCAATGAGCCAGTTGTGAATAGCTTTTCTCATTTAAGTAAAGAGGAATTCTTTAGTGTTAAACTTGTCCAGATATTCAGTTTTACCCAGTGCTGTGCAATGGGACAAAAGCATGAGTTACCTAAGTTGGGGCTTTCAGTCACCTGGTCTAATTATGTGTGCCAACAACCTCTCATTCATCAACATCCAAACTTTTGATGTAAACTTTTTCAACTTTGATTAGTGAGTCATTAACTTTAACAAAAAAAAAAACGTCTCGTCAACACTGATCTAATTCACGGTCTCGTTTGAAACCAAACGGAATAACATTATTTTATGATTTTGGTGTATACAATTTGTAACATTTATTCAGTTGGTTACATGAATGTTTATTACTGTTATTAGGGTTCCTAAAAAAACATTTAATAGCATGATTTTAATAACTTGTAACAGATTATGTAATGCTTGGTATAAATGGAGTGCTTGACCAAAGTATTTTAAATCAGCATTTGAACATTTCCACTGTCTGGGGTTTAATTGTATGCAGGTGTCTATGATGCTATTCCAATTAAACAAAATAAAATGAGTAAAACAGAGTATGGTTAAACCTGAAAAATTAAACTCAACAAAACAGCGAACGTGTCGGCAGAAAGCCTTCGTCAGCGAACAAAACAACAGAAAAAAACGTTATAAAAATAAGAAATAGCACTTAGCTGGTAAGTAGTATCTGTGGGCAGCAATAGAAGTGTGGCAGAAGGAAACTGAGTGAGAGTTTAAATAAGCAGCGGCGAAAAAAGGGGGGAGAAAAAAGTTCACTGTGATAGGTCAGAACGTGGAGGGGCGGAGCTAGGGTCAAGCTGTGAACAGAGACATAACATTAATCCCATCTGGCGTCAAGGTGCCGTAAGTCAGGATAAGTCTGTGTTCCAAATTGACCCGGCTGG